CCAGCAGAATTCAACTTTGAAGAAACTTGGATTGCCCACAAGAATGGGTCACTGCCCTTTTCTTGAGCCACTTTGGTTATCTCCAAAACACTGTCCCATGGGCTGTAGTGCAACACCTCCATTATTACTCTCACAGGGTCATCATCCTCTCTGGATTCTGTGCTTTAAGTTCAAAAGACTGAGTGTATGTATTTTAGGAAAGCGTGTGGGGGTTGGTGGTGGGCTTCGTCGTGTGAAGGCCGGTACTGGTTTGGAATGAGCAGAACGGGCCTGTACTTTGTAGATTGATTTGGATCTTAAATTGCGAAAGTCAAAATCAAACGTCGGCATAAGAGTTTAGATGATCAAGAAATACGCTTTGAGTGAGGAACAGACATGTAATTATCGTATTTTGCTTGGGTGGATCGTCTTTTGTTTAAGGTTTATTAAAATATTTTCCAAATCAAGAGTGTGCATCCGGTTGAAACAGTACCATAGTTATTTAAACCTAGCAAAAAATAAATAAATTTGCATCTAGAGCATGTATGAGAAGCCATAGTTGACGAGCATAATATTATAAATAAAATATCAATGATTCTACTTTTTTATCCTATCTACCACAATCTGTTAAATATGTACTTAATCTAGTTTGATTTAGTGCCATATGATGCACAATACCTCAATTCGTTGAGGTCGCCGTAAAGTCGGTAAATAACTCTAATACATTATAAATAACCTTATTATTGTTTACTTGATCGAAAAGCTATAACTTACTTGAATTTGTGATACGTGGATTACAAATCCAAAACAAAATAGCAATTTCAAGAGGATCATTTTTTATGATAAACCTCTTAGATATAATTACTTAGAAGAGATCAAAATTAATTATGTATTAGAAGTTCCTCTTTTGATTGATCGTGTTCTATTGATTAATTTTTCACTATTTATGATCATGTTAATCTTTCGATTGATAGTGTAATTAACTTTTGATTAAGAAGAAGAAATTAGGTAAAATGAACTTAAACCCCTATTTGTTTTAAAATAAATTTTTTAGTATAGTTTGATTAAAAATTTATAAAATGTATAGATTTACAAAATGGATGATTAAAAGTGAATTTAACAAAAATTGATTTTTAGAAAACGAAGTCAAAAAGGGACTAAAAACGGATAATTATTAGAGCACTATAACCCATTCCATGGCCCACCGGCCAAACCGTGAATCCAGCAGTCATGTTTTCACTGAGTAACGAGGGATCGTATCAATAAAAAA